TTGATGATTTCTAGGTCAAGTTTGAATATGGGTCACCTGGGTAAAAAACTAGGTCACACTGCTCAAATATCGCCCCATTAAAGCAAAAAGGTACCAAGTGACATTTTCATGTTTTCGAGAAAATCGCGTTTAAAGATTTGAAGTTCAATATCAAATCAGGTTTTTACAGCATGGCAAAGAAACTTCACATATATTTAGATAATATTTGAATGTACATGCTCAAAAAGTTTTAAAGCTTACATTTTACTAATTAGTGATAATTAATCAATTAAACGCAATGGTTCCTTTTTGAACTGATAAATATTTTGACTGACAAATGCAAGAAGGTACCATATGATCGCTTGGCCCCTTTTTGCATTGTATGATTTTTTACATTTGCTGTCGAATATATCAAAAAAAGGTACCATATGGCAGTTGGTACCTTTTTGTCCCAACAATATTAACAAAAAGCATCATTTAGTTACAGTTTTATTCTACAATGATGCAAAAAAAAATATGAAATTCTTGTGTTTTCAGTAAATGTCTGATACAACTATCACATTGCATGTTTTGAAAGTCTTCCTCTGTGATCAATCTCAATGCCTATGTCAAAATCTCTTACATTGTTAGTCAAATTCAGAATCATTCCCATCCAATTCCATCGTGACATAACCCTTTTCATTCCTGTATTTTTGTTAAGTGGCATTATAATTATGGAACTCTTTTTGGATAATTTTCTTTGCACACAAAGTTACCAAGTCATTTTTCTTTTGAATAGAAACTGGCGGTTTTGGTATCATCACTTCATATCTTGTTCACCATTTGTCCACTGATACTTTCTTTCTGTCTAGATTCTGTATTTTGAACTTCTATTTCCATAAAATCTTCTGCATTGAAGCTGTTATTTACAAATACTGACTTTGGGCTTTCCTTTGGTACCTGCATCCATTTCACCTGTCGCCAGTTTACTCTTTGTCTGTCAATGGATGTTTTGAGTCTCGGACACTGTTTTTAATGAAGTATTTGAAATAAAAAACATGGTTATATTTCATTGGCACAGCAATGTTTGGCTGTGATTTTCTGGCCAGTGATATAAGAGATTGCAACTGAATGATACATAATTATACAGGAATTGTTTTTTTGCCCCTTCAAGAGTCAAGTTGTCACTCCGTCTGTGTGTGACCCGATACAAGAAATTTGTGATGATCAATCTTAAATTTGGAGCTTGCGATAATATAAAAGAAGACACGCAGCTACGAATTAATTTCTGTTTTGTCCCCCGTATGAATCTGAAAAATAATGACTTAATGACATTACCACTCTGGCAAATAAAAAAGGGCTTTTATTAAGCAGGAAGCTATTTCACATGCCTCTCTTTGCAGTTTGTTTTATCCCATACATGACATACAACATTTTTGTCTCATAAGGAATATACTGTCAAAATAGAGTGAAATAGGAATCCCTAAAGAAAGCCCAACGCGACAAAATTGAAAATGTTGCAGGCTCGGTTTGATTGAGCCTAATCATGGATGGTACTGTCAAGTGCAAACTACCGTCCACGCCCCCTAGCACTGGCTTTAGCAGAATTCAACATTTAACATGAACTGGTAAAATTTAGAATTCTGAAACATCCGCAGATGTGTTCATATGGCGGTTATCATGGAACCTTCAATGTGACAAGTTTGTGCCATTCCATGAAAAGCGGTATATGGTCCCCAAGTAAAAAAAGGCATGTGCCCTAAACGAGAAAACAATGGCCTGAAATAAATAAAATGGAATTTTGAAAGGGGATCAGAGGTTATGAAGCCTGCATATCACAGATATAACGTCAAAAGACAAAATTAAAAAGCAGGCCTCATATCCTACGGGTGATTCAACAGTTTTCAAGTGAGGAATACTGGAACCACCCAACAAGAAAGATGCCGAATAGATAGAACTAAAATGCTACAAGCACAACAATAATGTCGTGCTGAACGATCTTTAAGGATAGGAAAAGAAGTTGTGTTGCAAAAGTTTTCTTGAATAGTAAAGCTCACTCACTAATGAGCAAGAGGTTGTTACAACGGCCTTGAGATCAAAACATGCAACATAAACGCATGTGTCACCTTTTGCTTCAACTTTATTTTGAACCTTTACTTCTTTTGAATTTTCTAGCTGTTTTTTATGTTCAATATATTGTTCCTTGATCGTGCCATCTAGTGTGCCTACTGCCTTCCTATACGTATGTTGCTTAACAGGTTTCATATCCTTCGTTTCACATTCAATAGTTTACAGATACTACATCTGTTTTAATGTTTAAGTCATAGTCATAAGATAGGTATTCAGTTATTTTCAGGTTTTTTTTCTTGTATAATGAGATTTCATTTTAGGAAATTACTCTTTATGCTGTTTCACCAATTTAACTATATCATAATCTAGTTTATTTGCAGATGTACGCTTCCCTGTCATACTTCTCCTTCCATATAACCCATGTATCGTGTTGACACGAGTTTAGTCAATTACTTTTCTTTTAACGTCCACGTTTTTGTGAAGAAGTCATTTATACACTATCATTATCTTCAGACTGTTATCATTCCTCAATTAAAAACAGAAACAATAATCTGGGATATATTGTTATATTTGGTGTCCTTACAAACATCTAAATTATGTATTCATTAAAAAGCTAAAAAGCTAAAAGGTACCAAGAAAACAATTTAATATATAAAATAATCTTAAGGGTCGTAAATTCTGTGTGTGCATAAAGGTACTATGTGACACTTGGTACCTTTTTGCTCAAACTGGTATACATATGGTACCTTTTTGCATTACTAAATGGGAAAATATTGACATTGTACCTTTTTACATAACCTTATATGTCTGTAAATAAACATGATACTACAGAGATATTTCTACAGATTAAAGATAACATTAAAACATGGAAAATGGAAAATGGTTTTGGCCAAAATGTCGCTTGGTACCTTTTTGCTTTAATGGGGCGATATGGATAATCCTTGTTAACACTGTAGTGGTCACATTTTTGACTCACCTGTCATGAGACTTGGTCAGAATGCTTGTCTAGGTAATTGTTTGGATGAGTTTGATGGGTCAGGTGAGCGATCTAGGGCCATCATGGCCCTCTTGTTTCTTCTAAGAATTAGAATTTACAACAATGCACGAAAGAATTATAATTGAGCCGCGTCACGACAAGACCAACATAGTGCGTTTGCGACCAGCATGGATCCAGACCAGCCTGCGCATCCGCGCAGTCTGATCAGGATCCATGCTGTTCGCTTACCATCCCTATTACAAGTAGAAAAACTGATAGCGAACAGCATGGATCCTGATCAGACTTCGCGTTTGCGCAGGCTGGTCTGGATCCATGCTGGTCGCAAACGCACTATTTTGGTTTTGTCATAACGCGGCTCATATATGGATGTTGGTAGCAAGTGTGAGATAATAATCCGACATTACCTATAATTTTATAGTTCTATAACAAAATGCTACATAAATCACATAGAACGTTTTTCAAGCAATATTACTTAAGTTTTAAGAAATAATGTATTATGTATAATCTGAAAAATGTTTAAAAATGATTTTAAAAAAGGTAACATACCATAGCTGTCGTGTCTTCCTACTAAATGTTAATGTAAGTTTGAATATAGAAATCGACTCCAGTTTCAATTTAAAAATGTAATTATTTTATTTGAAAAATATACAACGTTTCGACTCTGAATGTCAACGAATTTACCAACAGGAAGTAATCAATAAATAAAAACAGACGGGTTTTATCGGCAAGTTTATTGATCACATGATTAAAATTGTGAAAAATCCACGCACTGATTAAATTTTTTACATGAAAATGAAGATAACATTGATACACGGTACACGCAGAGTTAAGTAATACAAAATCACCACGGTTTGTACAGTCGCCTCGTACATTCAATCAGAGATGTTATATATCCTTAAAGATCGTTCAACACGACATTATATTTTTTAGTTTCAACTATTTGGCTCTTCGATTTCGGTTGTTCCAATATTCCTACTTGAATAATATTGAATCACCCTTATAATATGTTGCCTGCTTTTAAACATTGTCTTTTGACGTCTTATCTGTGACATGCAGACAGTACCTCTGATCCCCTTTTAAAATTCCATTTTATTTAGTTCCGCCCATTGTTTTCTCGTTTAGGGCGCACGCTATTATCTTCTTTCATGATATGGCACTACTGTGTCACATTGAAGGTTCCATGATAACCGCCGTATGAACACATTTGCGGATGTTTCTAAAATCAAAATTTTACCATTTCATGATTAAATGTTAAATTCTGTTTAAGCGGTGATAGGGGGCTGGACGGTGGTTTGCATTTGACAGTACCTCCATGAACAGGCTCAATCAAACCGAGCCTGCAACATTGTCAATTTTGCCATTTTGGACATTCTTTAGGGATTCTTATTTTCTCTTTTTTAGGAAGAAAACAAGAAGGGTAAGCCTTTATCTGCATAGCCAAACAGATGAATTTTTGGATCGAACATTAGATCACTTCACAGTACTGTATTGTCAGACGTTAGTCTGTATGGGTCCACTATTTAAGGTGACTTTGTCTTATTAACAAAAGGGACTTGCAAGACAGAGTAACGTCTTCACGTGTTCCTTGTGCTTCTGTACTTGCTGCGCTTCAAGACTTGCTGCGCTTTTGGACTTGCTGCGCTCCTGGACTGTTGCGCTTCTGGACTTGCTGCGCTTTTGGACTTGCTGCACGTTTGGACTTGCTGCACTCCTGGACTACTGCGCTTTGGGACTTGCTGCGCTTTTGGACTTGCTGCGCTTCTAGACTTGCTGCACGTTTGGACTTGCTTCACTCCTGGACTGATGTGCTTATGGACTTGCTACGCTTCTATACTTGCTGCACGTTTGGACTTGCTTCACTCCTTGACTTGCTGCACGTTTCGACTTGCTGCACTCCTGGACTGATGTGCTTATGGACTTGCTGCGCTTCTAGATTTGCTGCCCGTTTGGACTTGCTGCACTCCTGGATTTGCTTCTCTTCTGTAGAATTGCTTCACCCCTACAGCTGAAGTCTCTTTGACAATAATGAAAAGTCCTTATTCGGGAATTATTTTTTTCTGATCTAGTAACGAAAATCAGGTTTCTTTATTTCTCTCAATATATATAGCAACGGCACGAACCTGATAGAAAACAATTGGCGTGACGTCACAATATAATCGACGTCGCAGTAAAATTAAACAAAAGCGTGTTTCTTTTGACGCACTTAAATACTTATAACTGGAGTTTAACCCATTACTTCATGAGCATTTTGTGAAAAATGGCTGTTTTCATTGAAAAGTCTCCCGTTACAAGTTCAAATTGCTATAGTACTATAAAATCTGCTTCAACACTAATCAAACTTGGCACAAATGTTGACTGGACCATTGCCCTTGCAACAACATGCTCAAGCTTAAATTTTCTGTTACCATGGCAACGAGGGGTCATCTCAAAATTGCCTAAAATCACTATTTTGCGTTGATTTTTTCCATCAAAATTGATTTCAAAATGCTGCAACTTCTACATGGATTGAGATAGAGTCAAATGCTTTTCAGCGTTGGTTACACGTTACCTTATGATCAATCTGGGGTCATTTATAGCCTCTTACAAGTCCAAAATTTTCTTGGCGATGAGGGGGACTCCGCCCCCTTCAAACCCCCCTAACAGAAGGGGGCACATCCCCCTTCTGGCAACCCCCTGATGTATCTTTTGGTTTGGGGGCCGCGCCGAAAAAGAGGTCACTTTTTTAACAACATTTCTCAAACAAAAACAAGTGTTGGGGGCCTAAATAAGGCATTTATCACCATTTGAGACAACAAAAAGGGGGGTGGAAAAGGCGTTAAAAGGCGTGTATATAACGTAATGGGTTAAATAGACGTATCAACATGAAATAAAGGGCAGATTAAAGTTCAATTAAATATCCAAAAACTGATTTTAAAATGAATTGAATCAGATTCGTGCTGCTGAAACAAACATAAAATAAACCGATAAAAATAATTAAAAAAATACAATCTTGACATGTATTATTTGATATAAGACGTGGCCGTAGCATGTACCGTCATTATACACTCAAATAACTATGCATAGAATTTTATAATGATAAGATCGCAAGAACTTAAAATCTTTACATGTATTTGATATCAATTTATATTACTGGTATTTTGGAAATATTTATTAACATACATAAAAACAAAAACACAGTAACAAAAACAATTTAACCAGTATTATAACAGAATATACAATTTTACACATTCTTATAACATGTAAAAACAAGAGACAAGACCCGGTGTCAGCCATTTTGAAATTTAACTTGAATTATAATAATTACTTTTTAATTTTCATTTTACTCAAAGTCTTGTATTTCTTTTCCTCTAATAAGCAAAATCATATCATTAACACGGTTCAGTTATAGACAAGAACACAAACTACATAAGCTTGAAACCAAGAAAAGCCCCAAGGGGTTGTAAAATGCTTATCTTACAATTGTGCATTGACATGGTAATCAAGATTTCAAGTTTCTTTATGACACCTTTTAAAATGCTTAAATAATGAGCTACATTAAAATGTCTGCACGGTAATGTAAAGATAAAGATGTTGTATTTTTATAATTTAACCTTATCTTCATAAAGAGTGTACCTAAATATGAATAATTTCTTAGAAACAATTTGTCAGCTAGAGAAAAATATCAGTAATCTGCCGTAAAGAACCTTTAATTGTATACACTCTAAATAACAATCAGTATCAGCACATCGGAAAAAACTCTCACAGTGACAAAGCTTAACCATTCAATATTGACCTCGCACAGTTTTCAAACATGTTCTCCCTCAATTTCTGGTGAATGCTGGTAAAAACAAGTTTCGTAACATGAAACTGTCAGCTAATGGACACAACATAATAGATATAACAACAAAAATTAAAGACTTCTAGTACCTATGTACCATGTGGTTTTCAACTCGATAGCATCAAGTGAAAGTAGCTAAAACGAATTACTCCTACACAAATTTCATTAGCTCGTGTATCAAGAACATTCTGCTGATATAATATCTAAATTATGTCAACTTGCTTTAGGTTCAGTCCCAATAAGACAATTGATTGCAGTTTTTCATAGGCAGCTTCTTAAAGATTTGATAGCGAAAAGGGCATCTTGACCCATGTACAAAAATCTGATACATCAGGCGATGCAACACCTTTAAATTATACGGAGTAATCAGTGCTTCTTAATATCAGTTGGTACATATTATATCAGTTAAAGAAAAAGACGCATGCAAATGACACAGAAGAAATTCATAGTCCCATCAAAACTCTTATGGCTCGGAAAAGACATTCATAAGCGAAAATACAGGCTGGACAACAGCAATCAATCGTAGTGGACTTAAAATTCCTAGTTATAACTTCTATTTATTTGTACGGGAATGTGAAAAATACATGAGAAAAAAATGTTCATCAATGTGACATAAGCAAGGACTCATTCATCAATGCGAAGGAAATAATCACGGATGGTCATCTGGAAAAGTATTATTCAGAAAAGCTAGTAAGTCATAAGCTAACTGAACATGTCATTGAACAGTGTATAGCTCCTTAACATTCGTGGACCCGCAATAGCAAAACTGAAACATCGAGAACTTTTACGGGACAAGAAAGATGTTGCAAAGTCTCTGCGAATTGTGTTTAAAGACAAAACCAACTCGAAATAATAATGATACTGAAAATGACTATTGAGATATTTACAATTACTCATAGAAATGATACTTTAGCTATAAATTCAAATCGAAGACAACCTATTCTTGCTTTAACATACTATGACATAAAGTGAAGTGTTTGCTGAAAATCATTTACATGTTTGATATTTAATAAATCATATTCGTCTTGTTCTTGTCAAAATTATAATCTTCAGTCTTATTCATTTGAAAATGTATTCAAACTATTTCATACCGTAGTGGCAAATTGTCCAATGAACCAAGTTCAATCCTACATTGGTGCTATTGCATGACTGCCAGCTGTACGGATTTTAACCATGGCATTATTTAAGTCATATAACCGGGGGTTTGTATAGATGCCCAAGCTAGTTCTATCGATTCCAAATTGCTGCTTGATTGGATCTTGGTTGATTTTTGCAGTCATAGCAAAATCCATCCCTTGCTGGAACAATACTTAATACATTCTATAACAGTATTAACTGTACAGTCCGCCTAATGTCTGGTAAGTGAGCATCATACCATTAACTTGCCCTTTTGTATATTACCCCCGCCTATTTTCAATACGTCTTTTCCACTCGGCAAAGTATCCTAAAAACTCCAGCCTCAGATAACTAAGCCTATTGTTTACGTCTCGAAATTCTTTGCATTTTCATTTCTGTTGCGGTCAGCTTAGCCGTGATTTCTTGAATTCATGTTATCCAAAATTTATTCTCTGAGCTTCAATACATAAAAGACTGTTGATGACAAAACCTGAGTAGTCGGTTCCACTTTCATTGCATCGAATGAGGTAAGATTAATGTGTTTCTGTGTTAGCTTTGGACAGAGTCTTAAAAGGCTATAACCATGGTTGATATACGTACCTAGTTGGAGCTACTTTTTCGATAATATAGCAATGGAAATCCCATGTATAGATGGCATAACTTTGAACGCGCCTGAGGGTGCGTCCGTCGCAAAAAACGTATATCACTGAAATTATTCTAAGATAAAAAATATAACTAAAGAAAATCAATTGTAGTTATTTCCTTCTTTCCAGTAAATTTATCTTCAACTACGATGACTTCTGTCTCCCCGAATAGCATAGATAGTGCTACTGTCCTATCTCTTCTATCACTCCTGTAAAGTTCCTTATCAAACTCTATCCTTAGTCTACCTATCTCAAAGCATTCGTCATCATCTGTATAAACAGGATCCTCATTCACTGAAGCATATATTTCAAATTGCATAGCCTTCTGTCTTCTTGAAGGAGTACAATAGGTGTCTGTTACTTGGGTTTCTCCCGGTTTCACTGTCTGTCCAGTAGTTACAATTTTCTTAAAGACATTCCGACATCTTATTTGTCCATCCTTTGATGCGAAACGTTTACTTTCAGTGTGAAATCCTTCAAAAAAAAGCGGTGTGTAGTTAGTGCCATACGTATATTTGAGAATTCTTTCGCTTATTGAAAAAGGGTTGTGTCCATATATTAGTGCACCTCTCAATACGGCCGATGAAGCACCGATAGGTCTTACGACTTGAATTCCGGGAAATTCTTCTAAAATTGCACGATGTAATACTGGCGATTCAGAATAACCACCGACCATGAGTAAAACTCTCACTTCTTTAAGTGAGCCATCGGACAGTAGGGACTTTAGATGATCAACTATTTTGTTACCGAAATTTCAAAAAGATCAACAAAGACCTTGTTAGAAATCTTCATCTTATCCCTTTTAAGCTCAATCAGACCTGCATACGGAGACGATGCTAATGAAGTACTAATGTCATTTTGGGAGTGTTTGTTGTAAAGATCATTTAGGGAAACTGGAAATCGCATCCCTAATTTACCTGCGCTGTCCATATTTGGCTTTCGTTTCTTTGACTCAATTTCCCTTTGCATATCAAGCCAATCCTCTTTTTCCTTTAGTTTAAACTGTTCAAATACATATTGTCCTACCATACGTGTAAGCAAATTTTCGAATTCTTTGTCAACTATTATACCTCCCCAATCGCCACCACTTGCAGCTTTAACTTCCCTGAGTGTATTGTCACGACCAGCCTCGTGTACTGTTACGTCCATTGTTCCTCCTATAAAGTAATCATACACAAACGTGATATAGTTAAGAAATAAGAGTCGGATCTTTCAACAACCTTGTATGTGTTTACATATATTTTGCTGCAATTTTATTATGATCATTACAGACACTTTGATTCTATGCCCATTTTTAATAGATATATTCTACTTACAAGTATGTGATTCAGTTAAAACTTTAACATTAAGATGCTCGTCAACATTATGTTTGAGCATTGCATTTATGCCGTTACCAGAAAGGTATTATTAATTAGAAATAAATTTCCAGCTTAACACGCTGTCATGATTTGGACGACTCTTGTGGCTGAAGGATTGCTTTGAAGGGTTAAAGCATCAGAAAAGTAGCCACCGTTTATGTCTGCGTTATAGTAAGAGGCGACTAAATGGGTTCAAATTACTAGAGTCTATGTATTTCTTAGTTCCAGCAGGTGAGGCGGTTTTGATCCCTGGTGTTGCTTAAAGTTTGTAACATCCGAGGTTACCCAAAATTGTATTTCATGTTCCGGCGCCATATGACCTAATTGTGTTGGTGCGCCATAAAACCATCAACAGCAATTAGCAAGGCTTCGAACAGCAATATTTTTTAATGAAACGGTACACATTGAAAATAAAATAATATTTTTAATTTTCCAGAGCCACTATCGCGGTTGTCAATAATTTTGTATGATATGATTATTCTGACAAAAAAGGTATATTGTAGGTTATGTAATCAAAACGAGTCTGCAATTCTTATGTAATTTTGTTGTTATTAATGCTTCCGAGGGATCACTTTGTTTCCCGATTTTTTAATTGGAGTTAAATGTATATTCGTGCAAAATATGATACCCTTTTGAATTTGAATGAATGTATGATTAAGATTAATAAGACCAGGGGGAAGTTTTATTACTATACCTCCTGCATCAAGGACAATGTACTTGGTGCCCTTCGGTAACTTGGACATGGATGCATCATCAGGTTTGTGAATATGTATGTGTCTACAATAAAGCGAAGCTACTTCAGGCTCCAGTGCTATTGTTAATCGATCTTGAAGGATACCAGCCTACAAATGATTATTAACATAATTTAGTATTATCTGCCATGGTAACATAGGATTTGGATATTTAACGGAAAATTACAAAAAAAACTACTGAAATAACAGATCATCTTTAAAGGCACATAAAATCTCAGATTTTCTTTCTTCCTTAGAAAATGCAAAGTTTTATAACGTTTAAATAATGGTGTCGTTATATGTTTCTGGTCCTTCGGGATCATTGATGCCAGCACTTATAAGTGCTAAGAATTGAGTACTGCTCAAGCCGGTGCTAGGGGGCATGAGGGATGTTGCACATTTTCATTATCCCTCATGTACAGACTCAATTAAACCGAGTCTACAATTCTCTTGTAATTTTGTTTTGATTAATGCTTCCGAGGGATCACTTTGCCACTAGATTTTTATAGAGCATGGCTATTGCTTATCACCAGAAATATGAAACTTTGTATCATGAAAGTAGAAAAATGTACACACAATTGTATTTTGACATACATACATAATACTGAATCACTTTAACTGTACTAATTGCAAAATGACAACAAAAGCCAAATTTCATTCCGGCAATTGACAAAATGAGTAAAATGTTTGAAACTATAACAGGACACCAAAACAATCTTCAGAGAAATAGAAATGAAAAGCATTTATAAGGTATACTGTGTCTTTAAAAACGCCCGATATAAGGGAGATTGGGAGAAAAAAAGAAAATGGCATACACATGTTGAAAATTGAATCAATGTTTAGTTTGCAATTATCTTGTGCTCACTTTTTCGGCAGCCTCGCGCATGAATTGTTTTGCAGCATCGGACCATATTGCGGGAACTGTTACACCTTTCAGAGGGTTTGATTATGCCACATATTCCCTTGCCAGCATTATTCAGCATGTCATCTACCAAGAACTTGATTGACATTCCAAAGACATCAGCTGCTAAAAGTGGTTTGCCAAATTCGTCTTCGATTGTCATGTCTCGTTTTAAGTCCTAGCAAAAAAGAACTTTATCTTTGAATTTGAAAAGGCAATGAATTAGCGATAAAGTTGGAAAGGAAATTAAAATTAAACGTTTCAAGTCTTCGCAAAATAGAACATTATTTTGGAAGTTGAAAATGGAATAGATTAGCCATAAAATTGGAAAGGAAATAATATTAAACTATGTTTTTTGATAATATAATTCAAACTACTTGTTATTGTATAATGATGAATTCTTGGGTGAACATTCCGTATGTGTCCACATGATAAAATATAGATCTACATTTTTGTGTGTCTAAACTCTTTAATATAACATGTATCTTCAATAGCTTTTGTTCGTAAAATATATAACCCTCTGAAAGTTTTTACAAACAGCACTTAAAATTTAAAGCGTTTTAAAAACTCAATGTACTAGCTTTTACTAAACAAGACCAAAAAACGATAAATTATAATGGAGAACAAAAAAACGAGTTTGGCTCGAGTTAATCCATGATAAGCAATGAAAAAAGCATCTCAAATGCTACGAGCAGCCAATCATTATTTATTTTTTCTTTGCATAAAGAATATATATCTCAAGAATCGAAGGTAAATTAAATTTATGTGCACATTGTTTTACAGCAATATACATTCAGATAATAATTATGTTTTAGTCGTCATCAATCAGGAGTAGATAGTTAAAGAAATGTGTAAATATTTGCAGTCCAAATAAATAGTTTGTTTTATTTAGTTATTTCAGATAATGAACTGTGAATAATCTTTATCGCACCTTCATTTTTAATATTCAACAGTATAATTGTTGAATTGATTATCCTTAAGGACACGAAAAAAATCTTTAAAGTCAGTTTTGTTAGTGGATAATTTAAACAGAAATATTTTGAACGCCAACAAGCAAAGGCATAAGCCGTATTAAATCATCTTGATTTAATAAGCATAAATAATCCACAACAACATATAACAATACTGGGAAAATAACATATCATAAAGAAGATGATTTTGAAAAACGTAAATGCGATCAAGATATATTATAACTTACATTGCCCATCTTACAATACAGTTTCATTTTGAATCGTTTAAAGAAGTAATAATTGTTATCTTCTTCTCCTCATCAAGTAATTCTCGATATTCGTTTTCTGCATCGTACCCGAACGCTTTCAATGTTTTACCATCGGGATTTACCAATACACATGTCGGTGTTTTTTCCGTCACTAAATTCCCTGAGCTTGGCAGCCAGTGCTTTATATTTGCTTTTGTTGGGTCCAAATCGAATTCGTGGTTGAAAGAAAAGGCCCAGCCGGAGAAGGTAGTTCCAAAATCTATTGCTCCAACAAGTAGTCTCGTCACGGATGGCTGTGTACAAGACGCCTGCGCACAATCGATATAAATTTGTATATTAATTGTACTTCTTAACTAATACAGCCATACCTTAATTGCATATCATTACCAATGTTAACATGCCTAAATTGCACTTCTTAACAGATGCTGTCATACTTTAATTCTATTTCAACCATTGCAGTAAAGCCTGAATTTCATTTCATCACCAACGCAGCCATGCCTCGAATTTTTTTTAACCGATGCAAACATGTCGTGATTGCATTTCTTAACTAATGCAGTCATTTATTAGCCTCATTTCTTCACCAATGCTGCCATACCTCATTTTCATTTTCTTTCTTTTTCTAGTTTTTATTGTTTTCATAGAAAGTATGGCGTTTTTCTTTTGTCATTGTTTCTATTAATTGAATAACTACAATTAAATAATTACTAGCACGTTCTCAAGTGGCATCGAAAACAAAATGTTCGAATTTAATTTACAAACTACAGCTGTCATCTTAAATAAGGAAAACAAACTCGTGTAAAATGTTTCGTAAGTTGTGAAGTAAATGTCATGTTTGATCAATCCCAGACGAAAGTACAATATCTTTTTTCCGATCAGTGCTCGATTGAATATGGATTACAGTGTGATAAATGTTTTTGTATCATTATGATGTATTTAATTATTGGAAGATAATAATAATCATTTATTGAATAATACCCTTGAGGAAAGTAAACACATTTGTAATAATATTATATATAATATCGAGGCGGATGAATGCAATGTAAAATTAGTAGTCTGAAAAGACAAAAAACTGTGATTATTACACTAATGTTGCTGATAGTTTTATTGATTCTAATCACATTATTGCACCATATTAAGTAACGATTTAAGAAAACGTTTTGATTCAGGTATATATCATGACGCTTTGAGAAAAGGCGTAATAATTCTTTTTTTAAGGAAAAAAGCCGGTTGAACCGGGTGGTGCTCCCCGATTAGGTTTTGGACACAATAAAGGATATCTCTTGTAGTTTCAAAGTTGACAAAGTTCAAAGAGCAATAATTCCAAAATTAGCCAAATCAGAGTTATGGTTCTTTTGCTATGCATATTAACCCAATGATATCTATCTACATAGAAAGTGTCTTGTCCATATCTCTCATACTTTCAGAGCTATGTCCTGGACAAAGATTAAAGTGTAAAAATAAGAAAGGGGCAATAACTCCAAAATTAAGTCAGACAGTGTTACACATCTTTTGCAATACACTTCTATTAAATGAGATCTATCTATCCACTAAGTTTCTTGATGATACCTCTTATGGTTTAAAAGACATGTCCAAAGACAAAGTTCAAAGTGTAAAAGTAAAAAAGGGAAAATACTCCAAAAATAGACAAGGCAGAGATTATGGTTCATTTTCACTGCACTTTCATCCAATGAGATCTATTTACAAGGCAGGGTCACGGTTCTTTATTGCAGTGCACTTCTACCTTCTAAGATCTATCTATCTACAAAGTTGCATGTTGATATCTCTTATTGCTTCAGAGTTATGTCCCGGACAAAGTTAAAAGTGTATAAATGAACAAAGAGCAATAACTCCAACATTAGGCAAGGCAGAGTTACGGTTCTTGAGCACTGTACATCTACCATTTCTTTGTTATTTGCTTTTGTCTACATAAGTCCTACTAGCCCATAAACCCGTTGATTGTGGAATGATCCTATTGTTCTCTTTTGTTCTCTTTACCGTTATAAAGCCCCTAAACAAAAAATGTTTTCTCGGACAGACGGACGGACGGACAAAGCGGTGACTATATGCTCACCCTTCGGGTGCATAAAAAGGGCGATGAAGCTACTCCTAGTAACTATAGGGGAATCACGTTGATAAATGTCATTGCAAAAAAATATTTTCTATCATTCTCTGAAAAAGAATTAACAAATGGTGTGAATCTAATGATGTCTTTAACGATTCACAATTTGACTTTAGAGATAAATATAGTACTATTGATTGTATATGTGTATTACATACATTTATTCAAATATTCTATTTAACAAATCTAAATTATTTTGTGTTTTTATAGATTATGGAAATGCTTTCGACACCTTGGTTCGTGAAGCTTTGTGGATTAAACTATGTCGATCTAATATTACCTGCAAAATCATAACAATGTTGAAATCTAGTTATGTAAATGTTAAAAAAGTGCGTTAATATGCCTTCAAACATGTATATATCTGATTATTTTAATTAAATATTTACTTTAAAACAAGGGGAACCAATCACACATTTACTATTTATTTTATTCCTCAATGAATTCATTAAATAATTTATCTGATGGTGATTTAAACCTGTTATCAATGTATATGTTGATTTCCGCGGATGACATAATTTGTTTACGACAAATGTAGATAGCTTGCAAGTCCAACTTGATTGTATATATCAGTACTCAATTAAATGGGATCTAAAGATTAAAATAAAAAAAAATCCAAAGTATGCATTTTTAAAAAGAGACAACAATCTTATTCGTTTGAATGGTTTATCAATGATGAGAAATTAGAAATTATAGATATTTTTTATCATTGAAGGCACAAACTGTATTTACACTGAAAGTATGAAAAATACTGTTAAGGTGCTCTCTCAAGTAAATATTGATATTAAAACTAAACTTTCACTTTTTGACGCTATGGTTCTACCTATTTCATTGTACACTTAAGAAATTTGGGGTGTTTATCAATAGGAGAATTGGGTCGTTTTACCTTTATCCGTTTTAATGAAAATGAGGGCCTTGAAATTCTGGATGAAAATAATGTGTAATCAACACGTGCCTATGTATAACATTTTCAAAAAGCAATATATCTTCAGAATGTAAAAATGTTTGGTCAAATACAATATTAAAGCGTTACTTGATAGTTTAGGTTTCAGTTATGTAATGTTAAATTTTAACACTTTCTGTAACTATTTATGCATTTTGAAGCAAATGTTACGAGATCAGTATGTCCAAAACTGGAAAATGGAGATTCATAATGTAGCTAAACTTGAATACAATTAATAAATTAAAGTTGATTTCTGTTATGAAAAATATTTAGACATCTGAAATCTTTAAATGGAAGTAGGTAGATATACTGGAATTAAAAGACAAAATCGTATCTATAAACTTTGTTCATCTGCTGAATCTGAGTACCATTATTTATTATGCTGTAATAAATATCATGAATAAAGTCATATATATTTTTTAAATAACGCATGACCTTTAGTCCAAAAGATCATTAATATCATGTCATCAAATCGTAGAACTAGTATTGTAAAAAAATGTCAAGTTCATAACGGAAGCTTATAAATTGATAAATTTAACCTCAAAAATAATGCTGCTTTTATGATTTGATTTTCTTTGTGAATTTAAATTTTCTTAATATTTGATATTTGGTGATTATTTATTATTCAAAGTTTAAATGTTTTTTGTGAAATATTGATATAATCTGTATGTCTTGAAAATATTAAGTATGTGTAAATTGTCAAAGGCATTTGAAATGCGATTTGGTTTAAATACATTTATTTAAGCTCGATTGCGAAACAAGTTCATGCAACTTATATAAATCACTTTCGAGTCCGCTTCCTTGACCAACAAGTACTGGTGTCGTATGAAGAAACATGGTCGTGACCCGAGTAGGGCTCAAACCAATGATCTCTTGATTGAGAGGCAGACACCTTAACCACTAGGCCACCGCTCCCCGTTTGCCAATAAACGAAATGAAATGTTATCTGGAACACGACAAATGTGATAATTTCTTAACTAATCTGAGTGCACAAACTTTTACCGTTTTAGCATCACAGTGTATTAGGCCTTTTGTTCACAAAAGAAGTAACCATCTCATAACAAAGGTTTTATTTGTATGAAAATATCAGTTATATAATGAGGAAATATACAGTTCATTTCGGAATGCTGGGTAAAATCACATTCGTTTATGTACGGTTAACCCAAAGGCGGAGTTTCTCATTTAAACAGAAATTGTATTTTCGATTTTGCCTATAAAACTTATTTTGGTCGTCTGGACACCAAAATAAGAATGGGGTCGATATGAATCCCAATCATATTAACGAAAGGTAGCTTTTCCTATTTGTTTTAATAACTCTATGAAATGCAGCTTAGCTTGGTTGATTTTTTAAGACCCACTACGATTGTTTTGGATTTTGCCTGTTGAGCTTTTGTCTGTTTAGGTTTTGCCTGTCTACATTTTGAATTCACTAACGTTTAAAAACTCAAAAAGTTCAATAAAAAAACTGCTGACCACTTTGATAATACACAACAACAGATGTTTTTTTATTTACTAATGTTTACAAAAGAACGTTGCATTACGATTTGTTTATAATGTCACAATTTACATAATGAAAACTATCAAATATAATACGCATATATGCTTTAGTGATATTATTTATATCAAATATATTTTCGATTTCAAAACGAAACAATACACACAGTTATTATGAAATAGTTAAATGTTTCATACCATTGTGTTTATCCGTGAATTTCAAGTACGTAGATATGCACGCCGCTTGTTATGAAAAATTTTTACATGTCCGTAGATTACAAGATAAAAATATCATCTAGTATGTGTGAAACATGACTGGCTGTCACTTGTGTGTAAAAGATACTGTATGTCAGTATATTAGATATACTACTGTATATCAATTTATATAAATTAATACATCTTTTATTGCATCTGGTTATATTTTTTTTGAATGTTTTAATTAGTTTTTACATGGGCAAACCAATATGCTAATGTTCTGATGAAACAAGAAATGTAACAAATCTTTGATTTCTTGGTAATAAAAAACGAAAACTCAAATTTCTGTGTTTGTTTGTTTTCTAACTACCACTGTTCAAACGTAAAACTATGTTTTAATAAAAATTAAAAGTATAAAAAACAAATTTCCTATTTCTAGAATGCTACCACCTACAACAATAAAACATGTGAGATGTTGCGTGTTATTTATATATACAAAATAAAATTATCAGTGCCTCTTCAGCAGAACTTTATTTTCCATGCTTCAAGTGTGGCTATTACATTTTATTTTTAGTTTATATATAGCTTTCATACTTCGTTGTTAAAATGATGCATTAGATTCCCTGGTTCAGTTAGATTACCAGGCCAACGGTTGTTTGCCAGTGACACTGTCGAATTTTTTTTCATTATGGAATACTTGCAGTATTGACTCTTTTGACATAGAGTATTTTACAAAACGGAGAAAATTTCGCAACTACCGGCCATTTAGAGTTAGGATCTAGTAACGGTCGGATGCGGAAATATAAATGGACAGCTTCCAAAAAGGCACATCAACGTTTTAAAACTTTGAAATGTGATCGTAATATTCGAATTTGACAGTTTAAACACTGTTAAAGTTTCAACGTCAATGCAACGTAGACACAACGTTGAACATTATATTTCATTACAATGCAAATGTTTAGAAACACCCATGTTTCATTTTTAGAAAATTCAATTTTCTGTTGGATTAAGCCATAAAGATGGAAAAGAACGAAACTCTGCCTTGCCTAATTTAGGAGCTATTGTCCTTTGTTCATTTTTACACATAGACTTGTGTCCTGGACATAACTTGAAAACTATGTAAGATATCAAATTGACACTTTATTGGTAAATTGATCTCACTAAATATAAGTACAGTGGAACGGAACCATAACCCTTCTTACCCTAATATCGGAGTTATAGCTTTTGTACATTTTAACTTTTGTCCAGGGCATAACTTGAGAACTATGAAAGGTATAAACATGACACTATTTAGGTACTAAGATCTCACTGAGTAGAAGAGCAGGGAGAAGAACGTATTACCATTAAAGAAGTCATGAAAACTTCAAATCCAAACTTGAATTTATGTTATTGATGTAGGACAAATAATTCAAAAACATTTGAAAAAACAAAAACAAGACAAAAAAAACAGATAAACTACTGTATTCTCCATATGTGACAAATTATTACCTTACGAGTAAAAGGACGTTTTCCGACAAGCGCGTGTCGGAGTTTTCGGCACTTGTGACAATTTCTAGTTAGTTTTCCGTAGAGTATCGTAAAATCGTCGAATCTAACCGGCATCACGCTATCGAAAAGCAAGAAGTGTTCTTGTATTTCATTATTACTATTATTGTATTTATTTATTCAGAATAGCAAGAAGTTAAATCAAGACAAAATAAGATATAAAAATAATTGTTCTTTTTTATTATAATCACGTATGAATGAATAACATTTTGAATCGTAACATTCACAAAGTCGATGAAATGTATGTCATAAAAAACTTAATCCTAAGTTTTACATTACTTTCCCTCTGACAATGTTTGCCTATATGCGTTCAAATCTTTTTATAAGGGGCTAGCAAACATTTTGATGACAGAGTGGTAGAGGGCCACCAAAACCTTATAACATTTAGCCAAGATCAGTTATCTGTTTTGTCTTTAAATAACCTCTGTAACGGACTGTTTGTCCCATTCCTGTTCGTGGTGACAGTCAAATAGTCGTAAATAGTTGGGTATAATACTGGCTTCTGTAGAACTCTAAAACGATTTTCTCTCCTATTGATCTACACTCTCTTGAATTTTTGAACAGTGTACCTTTCCTGGTGAGGTTATTTTACTTCCTAACAAATAAAATTACCATTCGCCTATTACTTAAATTTATCTTACATAGAACATTTAAATTGGTAAACGTCAATACCTCAACTTTTCAAAGAAACAAGTGGAGGTATTATCTTGACCCATTCGTTGTCGTTGGAGTTTGTTTTACCATTTTGGTAAAGTTTCGTGTATGTTCATTAATTTCAATACTGATACAACTTTGACATTGAAATTGCAGTTATGGATACACCTTGATAAGTTCTACCTGTCACTCAAATTTCTAGTCAAAATGTCAAATGGCAAGATCACAGTGACCTTTAATAGGTAAAATGTAATGTAAAATGTTACAGTTTATTTTCTCAAAAAGCTACTTCACTTGATCACTTTAAATCTGTTTTACATGTTCATTATTATCATGTAATGCAAAATCACAAGGGCAGATAATCTTATAAAGTTATTCCCTATTTTGAGTGACTTTTTTGCCTTCTTGTTAAGGTTAATTTCTCACAAACTATCAATGATATACACATTTAATTTGGAATACTTGTGCATAACACAATTTGGATTGCATTATTAAAGGATACACAACGCTTAACGTCATTTTGCTAAATTATCTTATTTTTATTTTCTATATTTTCATGAATTTCTCTAAAGCTATCACGGATATCCACATAAAACTTATACTTAAATACTTAAATTTCCAAGAAAACATTATTGCCAAACAGATTATGAAAATTATTATGTTTGACTATTTCACCTTTTATGCCAGAATAAAAACATTTAGTAACTAGCACAAATGTTTTACTATGTTAACCAAGAAAATCAACAGAGGTTATCTTCTTCGTACCAGTACATTTGTCTTCGACCTCAACAATGATTTCTGTGCCGCCAAATAACATAGATAATGAGACCTCTCTTTCACTCGTATTACTGTCCCCATCAAATATCATCTCTAACTGTCCTATTCTAAAGCATTTGTCATCACCTATGTAAACTGGATCTTCTCTTTCTGAAGCATAAAGTTCAAAGATCAAGGATTTCTGATCTTTTGAATGAGTAAAAAAAGTTCTATTAACTTGTGTTTCACCCGTTTTCACTACCTGTCCGATTTGTAAAAGTTTGCTGAAGGCAATACATCTATCTATGCCGTCTCTAGATGCCAAACGTCTACTTTCTGGATCTACTCCTTCAAGAAAAGGGTGTGCGCATTTCGTGCCATAGGTATATTTGAGAATTCTGACACTAATTGATAGTGGGTTGTGTCCATATATTAGAGCACCCCTTAATACAACCGATGATGCACCGACAGGTGTCACAACTTGAATATCAGGCAATGTATCCGTAACTGCACGCTGTAAAACCGGCGATTCAGAATAACTACCAACCATAATTAACAATCGGACTCCTTTCAGTGATCCGTCAGACAACAGCGACTTCCGACGACAAACCGTCTTTGTCACTGACCTGTCAAATCGTTTAACAAAGACCTTGTTAGAAATCTTCATCTTATCTCTTTCAAGCTCAATCAGACCTGCGTTCTGAGTCGATGCTAATGAAGTACAAAGGTCAAGTTGTGAGTGTTTGTTGTAAAGATCATTTAGAGAAACTGGAAATCGCATCCCTATTTTACATTCACTGTCCAAATTTGCCTCTCGTTTCTTTGAGCATGTCAAGCCAATCTTCTTTTTCGGTATGTTTGAATTCTTCAAAAACGGTTTGTCCTACCAAACTAACAAGCAATTTTTCAAATTCCTTGTCAACCATTATACCTCCCCAATCATCACCACTTGCTGGTCTTACTTCTCTCAGTGTTTGCTGACTTCCTGTCTCGTGTACTGTTATGTCTATTGTTCCACCTAGAAATAATAATTGTATATCAGATATCACCGATGTTGATGGGAAAATATCAAATACCTCTAATAGGTTCAATAACTAAAGTCTTCAAACTTTCTTCAAAGTCTTCAAAAGACAATTATCCTATGTACCCTAACTGAGGAAAAAGTAATGTTTTTAGTGTCGATGCTGTAAGGTAACGATCACAGTAGCCTTATATGTGAAACCCGTTTCTGCTCACAATACCTAGAGAACCAGTTGACCCATAGCCTTTAAACATGGTAGTCTGATTTCCCTTATTTGATCAGAGATCCTTTAAATACTCTTAAGTTAAAACAAATTGAAAAGGGGAAAGCATTAGAGAGAAAAGGAAACAAAACAAAATAGCTGAAAGTTTTAGACTATTTGAGTATTTTTTCGTAACTTGAGTCAATGATTACGAATAAAAGTGTGACAAAAATCATCATGTTTTCTTTTGTTGATCAAATTGTTGCCATTGCAAAATTAATTCATTTAATTTATCTTTTAAATATAATTGACAAATTAAAAATACATTTATAATATACTTGTCTTTCTCAAATATTGACAATCATTTAAGCACTTATAGCATACTTTTAAAGCCATGCCATAGTAATTACAATGAAAAGAGTTGTTCATAGAACAATACCTCCTGCATCAACGACTATGTACTTTGTGCCAATTGGTAACTTATTCATTGATACATTACCAAGATCACCAGGTTTATGAATATGCAAATGCCTGCAATACAACGAAGCTGCTTCGGGCTCGTCGTTCTTTACATATTCCAGCCTAAAAATATTATAAGAAATAGTTCGGTTAACTATTTTCTATGATGGCACAGGGTTTAAGTGCTTAATGTTAAATTCTTCTGTAGCCAAAGCTTAAACAAACACTACTTAATTGCCAAAAAAATAACAAAGCACATTTTTATATAAAGAAGAGTCCTTTCCATATAAAAATGCAAAAAAGCTCAATAATGATGCTCGCCACAGGCAAGCGTTAAACTTAAGTATAAAAAAAATAAATAAGATCCACAGAAAGCAGTAAAATGAGAGATGAGAATAATTGTAGCAAATGCTATAAAAAGCAAAAGTTATCAAGTACTAACTATTTCGGCAGCTTCACGTATGAATTGCTTAGCAGCATCGAACCATTTTGCAGGAACTGTTACAACCAAGTGAATTTCCCATGGTTTGATGATGCCATCTATTCCCTTGTTAGCATTTTTCAGCATATCATCTACCAAGAACTTGATTGACATTCCAAAGACGTCAGCTGCTAAAAGAGGTCTACCAAATTCGTCTTCGATTGAAATGTTTCTTTTCAAATCCTACAAAAAGAGTTTATATCTTTTATTCAAAATTTAAGAAAAGAACCGTCAGAAAAGTTTATATATAAAATTACCAAATATTTATTTGATTTGTGATTAGAATATTCTGTGGACATGCAAAATTGTTTACGCCCGCCGGTCAAACATACGCCAATCTAATAGATAACCGATTTGTCGGAAAAAGATTATCATATTTCAACATATCAAGTAAAAATATGAGATAACAAGTAAATATTTCAAAATATCGAAAATATCAAGATATCAAGACTTACTTTGCCAATCTTAGAATAGAGTTTTATTTTAAATCGCTTAAAGAAAAAATAATTTTCTTCTTCTCTTTTATCAAGTAATTCTCTATATTCGTTTTCGGCATCGTACCCGAACGCTTTCAATGTTTTCCCATCGGGATTTACTAATGCACATGTCGGTGTTTTTTCCGTTGCTAAATTCCCTGATCTCGACAGCCAAAGTTTTGTACTTGCTTTTGTTGGGTCCAAATCATAGTCAAGAAAAGGCCCAGCCAGAAAAAGTCGTTCCGAAGTCTATCGCTCCAACAAATAGTCTTTCCACAATTTTATGTGCACTGGAAGCATGTAAATATAATTTCAGAGGTTCAGACAACAGTATATACATTAGCTACGCAAAGAAACCATCTAATGGACTAAATATATTTAAAATAAATTCGTTGTTGATTGCACAACATGTAAAGTGAAGTAAAAAAGTTATGTCAGTTTAACATTGATACCCAGATCAATATACCCACATTAAGATAAAAATACAACATAATAGATTGATTTTTATGAGTTTTTGTTACAGGGTTTTTTTGTTGTTTTTTTTGTTTTTTTTTTCATGGGGTGGGGGCGGAGGTGAGATATGCTGGTGAAAATAGGCCGAATAAAATAAATATGACCAAAAGTGCTTACCGAGATTTGAACGATAGATTGATCCATCGGCAACCTAGCTGTTTGACGAATATGTTACATTAGATATTGTATTAAGTTTTAAAAAAAGAATTTAAGTTTTATCGCTAAAGATTCTCTTTGTCCACAGTTACATGTCTCGCAAAACACTGTATCATTCAATGTGATCTTCTATAAATTCGAATTTTAAAGATGGCACACTTGCATAGGCATTTTTCTGCGAGAAGAAAAAAAATTCTACTTTTCTTTTCATATCCTGTTTCCTGAATGAAAATCGTCGTATATATGAAATTTGTTGATGTACAATTTTTTT